GGTACTCTGGCATGTAGAGAGCCTTTTCTTTTTGAGTCAGCTCTGCTGTCCTTTGAAATACTGAAATGCAGTTAGCAGTCAACAAATAATATGAAACATAAACCTCTGCAGTACTTTTGCTACCCTGCTGTGCCGCCTGCACATTCTTGAGGAGTGCTGGGCTTTGCATACGGTCTCACATAGAGAGATGTGAGACTTACTAAATAATCAAAGCTGCTGAAAGACAATACAGCTCCTGCCTTCTTGGAGAAACATTTAACAGCAAACGCAATCGAGCAGATGTTTCAGTGACCTTCCGCGTTTCCTACTGATGACATGCAGCTACTTTCCTTATTTTTCTTTTTTTCTTTTTTTTTTTACAGAATTCTTTTTTCAGATTTTCTTTTTGGTATATGAACTTATGCATGGTGTCATCTTTTCATATCAGTGAAAACTTGACTGTTCAGCCTGTGAACCCTTACCATAGATGAAGACTCCCTTGGTCTAGGCAGAGTACAGACACAGTGCAAAATGAATGTGTCTGTCTTGGAAATATTCTGGACTGTTGGAAATGGTGGACTGTTTGCTGGTAAGGAGTAAAGTAACTGCAAAAACCAGGGGATCATACGTTACAGAAATAACCTATATGAGGTGGGTTAGAGTTGTGAACGTACGGAAGCCTGCAAGAACCTAAGCAGTGGAAGCAGCAGAAGCAACCCGAAGGCTGGGACAGAAAGGGCTGGTTAATGCCCCTGCTCGCAGATGATGCAGGGCCAGCTTCTGACAAGAGGGAAGATGGAGTGATCTTCCTGCTCCTACTGGATTTCAACAAATGCCTCCATAAAGTGGAGCATAAGCCCTGGTTTAGGTCTTTCCCTGCATTTTTATCTTTCTGGACTCGTTTCCAGCAGTAGTGGATTTACTGTCTTTGCTGTAAGTACCTTCACAGGGAAATAAGAATTCATAATCTGCAGAGATAATATATACTAGAATGAAACTGTTCCAACACTGTGCCTGCCAGAGGCCAGACTGAAAGATAAAGAGATATAAAGCTTGCAGTAGTCATTCATTACTCCTTTGCATTTGGCTGCAAAGGAGTAACCACACCTGCTCGGTGGACCGTGTAGGTATTACAAATCTTTGATCTTTCTGAACCTGCACTGATTTACTGGAGACACGTTTCATTATTCTTTTCCTGCTAGTAAGAGAGGGAGGGGGTACTTCTATAAATGTACAGTTTTAGCTTTAGATTTTCTTTATTTTTTTGTTAAATTCCTAATTAACACACAGTGAAATTGCGTTGTGATTTGTTTAAGCTTGCTGTTAATTTTGTAAAGTCTCCCGATGAAATCTTGCCTCTTATGAAGTATAATGAAATTCCAATTTAACTTGCAGTCAAGCCAGACTTATGTCCATTTAACTTGTATTTCAGGCGTGCTGTCTTTTTTACAGCTGCTTGAGTTAGAGACCAGGGAGGAACATAATAAGAAATTGTCTCCTTCCTCCCTATCAGTTAGTTACTTGACATCTGGCTCAAACGTGTATTGCAGGCCCCTCTTCAGCCCTGCTTTCTCTCCTTCCGATAAAAACGTCTGCCTTTTTCAGTGAGGAAATAAATTTCAAAAAACTGCCTTTAGAAAATCTTGAGTTATAAACAATCTTTTCCAAAGGAGACGCATTTTAATATCTAGCCCTGACAGCTTCCATGCATAGCATACTTCTTGATTTCATAACAGGGGGAGATTAATGCTGGCTTTCTATTATATGCTTTGGGATCTGTGTGTACTTCTCTGTGGTCAGCCTCCTCGTGAACTGCTGTTTGTTAGCAGTGGAGGCACAGACGGCTTTGTGTTTGCGCGGCTCAGCTGAAGGAAGAGGAGGATGGCACAGACAGCGACGTACACAGTTCTGAGCATCTCTTTGTACCGAAGCAAAGCTCTAGCTGATTTTTTTTTTTTTTTCCAGAAACGTGTAAGTCTACAATAGATAGCAGACCCTGCTCCCAGTTGCACACAGCCTCAAGCATTTGTTTTGTGCTGAGGAATTTGGGACTTGTTTGTGGAAGTTTGGATTGTGATGGGCAACTGACCCTTTCTTGCCAGCAGACTATCTATTGTTAAATACACGACAGTCATGGTAAAATAATATTATTATACTTCCAAACAGAGTAACTAGAGAACCTAGAATTAAAGACCACTGTCTCGTTCGAAGTGCTGGATGAATATTGTTCATATAACGTATCATTACTCAGTATGCTGTTTTTCTTCCTTGTTCGTGTGAATTCATGCCTTGTTACTGTGCCCAACTCTATTCCTACTCTGAAGTGAGAGTTCTCAGTTTCTTTCTGAACTACCAAAATGTTATCACTGCAATATCTCACAGTTTCAAAAACCTATGTAGCTTCCATGCAGTATCGTATTCAACTCCATTCTGTACATAAGGGAGGAGGGTTAAATCAGAAGTGACGCAAGTGGATTTTGGATATGGATCTGTCTGAGGTGACTCAAACTTGCAGTGGATTTTGTTTTTTTTTTCTTCAGGGACCTCAAAGTATGAAATGCCATTATAAACTGTAATCAGAGCTTGCCTCGAATCGTAACCGCAGCTGGGAATCCTACACATCAGACCCTTGGATCCCAGTTTGGGCAATCAGTTAGGGTTGCGTCCAGGTGGCTGTGTCAGTACTCAAAGAGGACAGCAGTGCTCCCCGAGGAGCGATTCAGAAGCAAGCAGGAGAGAGCAACAGCCTCAGGCCAGCCCATGGAGAACGAACACGGTGTGATGACTTCTGTGGAATTTAAGTACATCTCACCCTTAGTGACTGTGAAATACGGTCATGGGCTCTGCGCTTTAGAATAGTAGTTTTTCTGTGCTAAATCAGGTGCTCCCTGGTGCAACTCGTAGTCCCTGCTGCTGCATGGTGTCCTGGCACATCCTCACTCCAGGCAGAGGTAGGAGGAGGTCTGACTTCGCTTGGGTCCCCCCCACTCCTGAATTTCCTTTGAAGGAAAGCAGAGTGCCTGCAGGGGGAAGGACCTGTGGAGCTGGGGAATGCGTCTTCCTCTTTGTTAGGCTGTGGCTGACAGGGAAATCCTGAAATGAGGATTTACGTGCTCTGTACAGAGGACTCGGAATTAGAAAGCACAGTTGTCCTCTCTTCACCTCTCCCTGTTTGCGCCTCGAACATCAGTCACAACACGCTTTCCAGCTTTGGTTAACTGAGCACCTCCCTGCTTATTGTCCGGGTTCCCTGCGCCCAGAGGTGCTGGCTGCCTGGCCCCTCCATTGCTTTGCACTGAAAGGGGCTCGGAGCAGACGGGTTGAGGAATTCAGCTTCAGGACGCTGGCACATTTCCATTGAACATGTGAAGTGTTTCTCCAAATGCTTGTCCGCTGTCAGATTTCCTGTGGCTATCCGTAGGTCTGCCAGGTGTAGCTTTGTCACTCCTAAAATTTGTACTTTTAATCCTGGAGGGCAGTGTAGATCCTGTGGAAGAAGAGATTAACAGAATTGTTCAAGAGAAAGGATATGTCTACAATGAAGGGTTTAGATACCTTCAGTAAGCAATTAAATAAATTTACAGGGAAGAAAACCTCTGGAGCTGCTAAGCCTAAGGATGTCTTCCCTGCTTTGTGCATCCTTGAGCCATGAGTTGCTCACAGAGGTGTGGAGGAGACTCTGAGGGGTATTGCGAATTGTGCTTAAAGTCCTCCTTACACAGCTGTTGTTGACTCCTGTCTGGGGCAGAGTCCTGCACGAGGCAGACCTTTGGTCTGACCTGGAGAAGCCATTCCTGCAGTCAGCTGCGTTGCTGTAATACACTACAGGATTGGCTTCAGCAGGTCAGACGAAAGGTCCTGCTGCTTCTACCCCAGTGCTGGTCTTGAAGCGCCTGAATTGTCGTGGCTGAATTTCAAAGAAACAGTGTATCCTGAAGCAGACACAGAGTTAGGAAAACTCCAAGGCAACTTGATTTTTGAAGTGTAGTGAAGTTTAAAGTATGATTTACAGGAGGTGAGCTAACCGTTGATTTTTACTCGTTTTCTTGAGTTGTTTCTTGCATCAAGTCTTGCTGTGCTGTTCTCTTGCTGAGATCAGCCTTTAACTTAGTAGTAGTTAATATTTCTAAATATGGGAAGATCTCTCCACAGATTTTAAGTCTAAGTCACACAAGCAGAAAATGTGTCCATCTAAACTTTTATTGTTGCTATATTTATAACAGAAAGCTTTTAAACTTTATGTTCGTAGTGCACAGAGGTGATTGATGTGCCTGGCTGTCCCTGGCAGCTCTGCCCGGGGCGGCTGCCTCCTTGTTAGTTCTTGCCTTTTACAAGACATAGAAAATAATGAAGGTTTTCGTGCTGGGGGGATGTAAATTCAGTAAGAAACACTTCTTTCTAATGCTTTTCTGAAGGCGACCACCTTCAAAAGGGTTTTAAATGCATGTGGTTTAATTTCTTACATTAGTTAAAGTTTGCGAAGAGCTTAGTTTATGATTAAAGAAAGTTAGGTGCTATTCCAATTTTAGGGGGGCCTAGGAGAGAAAAGGGTTTTAGCCTGTCATTTTTTAATAACTGTTTGATGATGCTAAAAACAAAAACAAAACCCCTGTGCTTATTGTTTTGGGGTTTTCTAGTAACGGGTGTGTTTTCTTTCTGTAAAGCTTTTAATATCAAGGGCCAAGAAGTGCTATCTGTACAGATACTATTACACCAAATTAAGTACACAAACAGAAACGCCTCCATAGTTATTTACTATTTCTAGAGAGCATGTGATAAAAGGATCTTTTTCAATTTAACTTCAGCTCCTACACCTTCTTTTCTTTCTGACCTGGTGAAACTGGGTGGCTTTCACGGCAGGTTCAGGAGGCTTTCCGCAGTCTTTCGTCTTCTGGTTTGGCTGCTGATAACCGGAAAAATTGACTGAGCAAAATGGTCAAGAAGTTGAGCCAGCAGTCGCCATAGTGACAGTTGTCCAATGTAAATATCTTACAACTCTTCTGTTTATCATCTGTTTTCAGGGCAGTTTAAGCTGCTGGAACAAGACCGAGATATTAAGGAGCCAGTGCAGTATTTTAACAGTGTGGAGGAGGTGGCTAAAGCATTTCCTGAACGAGTTTACGTCATGGAGGAAATAACATTCAACGTTAAGGTAGTCCCTGAATAAATATTTATCCCTGTCTAAATGATTAACTGTTACAACCTTTATATACATGGCAATTGAGCAACAGCGCTGTGTGGGAAGTGTAATTTTTTGAGACAAACGAGCCTTTAGTGTTCTGCATTCAGTGGTGGTGCTCTTCAGGATCGGTTTTGCAGTCTTAAATCAACATGTCCTCTAAGGGCTCTCCTGTCCTTTGGCACTTTGGGGAGCAGTCCTGATGATCCATCCAATAATTCGTCTAATTAGGATGCTCTTGCCAGATTTTAAACAAATGTTGTTTGTGGCTCCCATTCTCCTCCCCCTCCAGCAGTCTGAATTTTATTCTCTGCTAAGCAGCAGCTGCTCAAATCCCTGTCCAGAAAGCCTTATTCTCAGAGAGCACTTAGGGTGAAATCATGGGGTTGCTTGTCTCAAAATTACTGCAGCTAAATAGTGTTATGAATAAAACAAAAAACCCCCAGAAGACACACCTGTTTCCTGTGTGCGTGTGTGTTTGTGTGTGCACGCCTCTTGGGCTCATCAAAGGGTCAGCAGTCCCATGAGCATAAGAGGGCTTGCTGTCACCAAACACACCGCAGTGCAGTGGCACGGAACGGTGAAGGCAGAACTCGTTCTTCCTTGTCCTGGCTGTATGTGTGCCACGGCACAAGGTAGGTCAGCTCTGCCGACAGAGCGGAGTGATCTTTGGGCTCTTCTGGTTTGCTCCAGTTGATACACCACCTCAGACTGGTTGAAATCAAGGCAACAAGAAAATTTTGTTTCTACACGGGAGAATCAGACTTACATTGGGACTGCTAGCCTTATCCAGTGCCGTGCCGTTATTTCTCAGTTGATCAATTACCAAATCAAGAGAGTGGTACAGTAAAATGTGAGGCTTTCATTTTGTAGGGAGAAAAGTATTTATCTGCAGGCTTGTTTAAATGTAAAATGTTGTGTCTTGTGTTTAGTATGAGTGTTCTTGAAACTCTCTGTCTCATTTGGCAAACTGAGAAATAATTATAGCTTACTGTTAGATATCAAATCATTTTTAGAAGATATTATTGTGATACCCCTTGATGTAAATAACAGTAATAATAATCCAGGTTTAACCTAGTTACACAGTTATCTTGGCAGTGTTTCTCTTGGCAGTTTTTCCAGTTTCATAGAAGTCTATTCCAAGCTTATCATCTTCCGAAAAATAAATGAACTTAACAGGATTTATTAAAGTGTTTAATAACCTTTACATGCAAGAGAATTATGTAGGCTAAAATTTTCATATAGGGGAGATTCTGTGAAAGCGATTAGAGCAAAGGGAGGAATACTGAGTACGGTTGATTTCTGTCCAATGCAGTGTGCCTATTTAAATTCAGAACAGAGTATCAGAAGGTAGCTTATCCGATGTAAAAAAGAAAAAAAAAAAACCTAAAATATCTGATGTAGCATTTAAGATGAGAAGGAACTCTGAAGTTTGGGAATTCTTTCTTGTTCCAAACACTCAAGTCGTTCATGGAGAAGTTCTGAAGAAAGAGCCTGTAGAGTTACAGGGGGCCACCAGACAGTCACCACGTGGTTTTGTCTGTGCTTGCTGAGGTCTGCCTGCATGTGCCCCTGTGCCACAGTTACGGTTCGGCTTGTGGCGAACCTTGCTCCTCTGTGTAAGTCCTTTGCTGCCCCGGCAGGATTTTACAGCCAGTGCTGCCGTTCAGAGAACTGCCTTCTTGCTCTGATGGGCTGTGGGGTCTTCTCCAAGGGGGTTACTGTATTTTTACTTCATGTGTTAGTTGTTAAAAGAAAAGTAAGCCACCTTATGCTGGGAGCGGCAGGGGAGATGGGTCTCCCTACCTCCCTTCCTTCCTCCCTTGCTTCCTTCCTCCCTCCCTTCCTTCCTTCCTTCCACCCCCTTTTGCAGCCAGACTGGCTTTCTGAGCAGTGCGCTGAGGCAGGGGCTTTGGGACCTGCTGGGTGTCTGAAGGAGGGCTGTAGCACAGCCCATCAAGCAGAGCTGGGAGTGGGAAGTGGAGTCACTTTTCACAGAACGGCAAACAAAAACTTTTAACCAGACTTTCACAATGGCTAAAACTCTTCTGGTAGTTTCTTTGCATGTACATGTGTATCAGTGCTGTACTTGTATACCCAGTCGGTTGCCTCAGGTACCCAGTAACCAGCAGCATCTACAGGCACAGCAATTTAGAGTGATCTGGGGACAAGCTGATTTCACTCGGTCAGTAGGTATTTCATCTGTTCCTAGTTGAAAATGAGAAGCATTCTATCTTTTCTTCACTGAGCAGACAGGTAATAACCTTTTGTATTAATATTCAGTGCAGAATTGCAGAGAAGTTTGCTTAGGTAGCAGCATTACACTGCAGAGATGAGGATTTTCTTTTATTTTCTATGCTAGGAAGAAAAATATTGAAGAATATGGAGCTACCCGAGGGCCTTAGCTTTTGCCAAACCAGCAGCAGTAGGTTTCTGCAGTCGGATGCGGTGGTCCCGTGCAGATGGCAGTCTGTACAAATGCCCAGGAAGCTCTGCGCATGAAGGCTGAAAAACAAAACCGGGAACAGAAACCCCACATCATACCGAGGGCAATTCACAAAATGTTCTCGTAAAAAGCATCAATATTGTCTGATAGGGTGAACATTGGACAAACCATGAATTCCTAGACTCTAAAAACCAGCCCGCTTAGTGTTGCGGGACCCTTCAAACCATCCGGGGTATCGGTTTTGTCCCGAAGGTGTCACTCACAGAATCACAGAATCACAGAATGTTTGGGGTTGCAAGGGACCTCTGCGGGTCATCTAGTCCAACCCCCCTGCCAAAGCAGGGTAACCTACAGCAGGGTGCACAGGACCTTGTCCAGGCGGGCCTTGAATATCTCCAGAGAAGGAGGCCACACAACCTCCCTGGGCAACCTGTTCCAGGGCTCCGTCACCCTCAGAGGGAAGAAGTTCTTCCTCGTGTTCAGATGGAACTTCCTGTGCTTCAGTTTGTGCCCGTTGCCCCTTGTCCTGTTGCTGGGCACCACTTAAAAGAGTCTGACCCCATCCTCCTGACACCCACCCTTGAGATATTTATAAGCATTTAGAAGGTCTTCATGGAGGGGCTGTGAAGCTGTTTGCAGAGCCTTTCCAGGTTGGAGGAGTGGGTTAGTTCATTAGCACTATAATGATTCTTTTCTTTCCTATCGGAGAGATTGTTTGGCTGATATGAGCTTTGGATACCAAATTCGTTTATTTTTTTTAACATAATCCTCTTTTCACAGGGGTTTAACTGTGTTGGCCCATACAGCGTGCATTGTGGCAGAAATAAATCCATAGTGAAAACTTTGCTCTTTTTTTTTTAATGTTAATACAGTACAGTCAAGCAAAATTGATCACCTGATTTGATTGCAGTTCTGTTGGCTCTGCTAAAGTTGACCTGAGTTTCTAAAAAGCACATACAGAGGAGGTTGTAACCTACACTGGCATTTTTAAATGCTGCAGTAGTGGCTTTCTTGAAATCAGTTTGTGTGTAGGTTTTAGCTCCAAATTTGCAAGCAATTCCTAGTACTTCACCTGGAGAATTAGCACTTTAGTCCCCTCATTGCCTTGTGCCTTGATGCCAGCCTTACAAGGCTGCAAGCCTTGGCTCCAAGAACGTGACGGTGGTGCTTCTCTCCGTCTGTCCCTGGCACGTGCAGGCTGTGGCACCTCGGTGTCTTCCATTGGCAGCGCAGTGCTGTGACTGCCTCTTTCCTCCAGCACCTGGTGCGCGGCTGGAGTGAGAGAGAAGCAGACCTGCTGCTTCGCACCTACATTGACATACGTGCTAGAGGGTTTCTGCTCTGAAAGGAGCCGGGGCAGTGAGTGCCGTTGCCTCGCGGTGGCTTCACAAGCTGGGCTTCCGGACAACCCGCGTGAAGAGACGCATCGTGTTGGAGCTCTGTGGTGTTACCGGTCACGTTTTGGGTCGTTTTTGGAACATTTTGATTTATCTGAGATGTCCTTAAGCAGCACTGAAGACAGGTTTTAATGTAGCAGTCAGGGCGAAGCCCCTCTTAGCTGAGAGAGAAATGGACGTGTACTAACATGAAGCGTTGTACCTGCTGATTCTCTGTCTTGGGAGACAGTCGTTTGTAAGAGAAAAATGGGATGCTGTCTCACTGAATTTAGTCCACTTCCTTAAAAAGTTTGCTTATTTTTTCTGCTAATAGCTATTCTGAAGACTCTTTGTTTTATATTTTAAAAATCTTTATCGATTTTTTGTGACCTGTAAAAAAAATATATACATTATTACATATATTTTTATCCATATATGAGGTGGTATGATTGGTCCCTTGGCTTTAATAGGAAAAACTATGCAATGGCTGTCAGTCAGAGACCTCACAGTTAAAACGAGCTCTACCAAAAAAAAAAAAACAACCCTAATTGTGTATTTTTAAAGTGAATGCAATGCTTGCATTACTCTAATAAAATCTAGGTATAACAAGCAATATAAAGCCACAAATCATTTTTATAAGGAGTTCATGTGTGCCCAAGTGATTAAAGACTTCTACTTCAAACTATAACGAATTAGAACAGTTGGAGTCCAAGACAGGATATTGACTCAGGTGTTATCAAAATCTATTTTTCTGAGTTAACCTTTCCTTAAGCAAAAGAAACAATATACCTGAGCTTTCCCAAAAGAACATGTTTCCTACATAGTCATTCATCACTTTCCTGATGCCTGTCTTCTGCAGCAGATGTAATTGGCTTCTGAGTTGTTATTGAATTGCGGGAGTCTTCAAATTTAAAACATTGCAGTGACTTAACACACTGCTGTTTTACAACGTGTCTGTAAGCCAGCAGCATTTCTGGTCAACATCCTGGCGTCAGTACTGAACTGTTAGTGCAGATCAACATCTGGCAGTGGGGAGGTGAAGGCTAAGTACAGGATGGAGTAGGCTGCTTTGGGTTCTGTGGGTCCATCCTCTGCATTAGGAGTTGTTCAAGTTGAACATCTGCTAGTGATTTCTAGAAGGTTTTGGAGTA